TGTTTGACGGAAATTCCAAAGAATAAAAAAAAATAAATGATAGAAGAATACGCTAGACGAAAATGATAAAGAATAAAAAAAAATGGTTGTAAAGAAGTAAAAGTGAAAGTTTAGTGGTAAAAATATAAAGAATTAAAAATAAAGTGGCAAAATTATAAAAATGAAAAGTTTGTTGAAACTTTAGTGGTAAAATTATAAAGAAGTAAAATAAAGTGGTCAAATTATGAAGATGAGAAGTTTCAACACTAAAATGTAGAAAAGATGTGGCAAAAATCCTAAAATGTAGAAAAGATGATGCAAATGCCAAAAATAAAAAAAAAATATTGTTCTTTTTCTCCGTGAGCTTTAATATATATAGTTAATATTAAAGAGAAGATTGGGCCATGTCCAATTCTTAATTTCTTTTGACTTATATTTCATTTACACATTTTAGTTGTTTTATTTAAAAACAAGTTTTGTATTAATCTTTTAACTGATTAATCTTTATAATAATAAACAGAAGTTCCAAATTAACATTGGTCCATAAGCCTTTTATTGTTAATCATATTTTCTCCAAAAAAGTAAAAGTCTTAGTCGTATTACTTTTTTTTTAATTATATTGCTTATTTTATAATAAAAATTAATTATCTTTTATTAAAGTTTAATTTACTCATGTGTACCACATTTTAGTTTACGCTTGTTACATTTCTGAACGTTTTTTTTTTCAAGCGATTTATTAAGTACATAAAATTTTAAAAAGTTTCAAAAGAGTTTATAAATATAATACGGAGTAATTCGTATTTTCAAGTTTTTATGGTTTTACATTCATATTTTCCTTTTCGAAAGGTTTTACGCGATAAAATATTAATACGATTTCAAAGACGTTTTCGCCGAAGTCAATTATATTCAATATATTCATTTCATATGTTTGGAATGGAATAGATGAAAACATGTGACAGACAAATAATTCAATGCATGTGAGGAACGCAAGATGAACAGTACACAAATTGGTTTACTATTGGAGTATTCAAATTAGTTTTACTATTGTAGTTAAAAGTAAAATCGTTATCACGTATGATAAAAGATTGAGGAGCACTCGATCGGAATCAGACCCTTTCATATCATATTTAAAAGTCTCTCGCTCATTAATAGTTCATTTGATATGTCTATTACTCGATCAGATTCAAAACTGCGTTGATATTAACTCAATTTGTGGAATATTTAAAACAAACTCAATTTGTGGAAGATTTAAAATTCCTATTACAAAACCAATTGAAAGAAAATTCATTTATCGCATCAACAGAAAAAACTCCTGAGTCTAAAATCACCATCATTTATCTTCTCATTCAGAAATAGTATCATCTCTAATCTCTCTATGCCATTGCCATCTCCATGCATCAGTATACCACCTATCATAAAACAAAACAGTCTCGCGTTGTTTCAAGGAGAAACAAACGAGGAAATAAAATCGATCATTTTTTGTCACCAACCCACGTGTCAGTCCAAAACTTAATAGAACACCCATTACCAATCTTCATTGTAACGAGTTGTCTATAATCTTTTTTCCACCAACCGATTAGTAGATAAAAGAATACGAGCCCAAGGTCCAGGATCCCAATCCATGTTATGTCTCATCTCGAACCCTCCTTGATCACCATACAAATCCTTTTATCAAATTTACTGAGATCAAAGTATAATTAGTGAGACAGTGCCATCTCCATTTTTGTAACAATGCTAAATTCAAAGATGATAAAGTTCCAATTTCAACCCTCCTTTGCTTTTATCAGTAAGAACTAAATCTCATTTCACCCACGACATTTTAGTAACATCATCATCACCTCCCTAGAAAAATCTAGATCTATTCGCTTCAAAATCCTTTGCAACCGTGACTGGAAGAAGGAAAATAAACATGTAATAAGTTCCAAGAGCACCCAAAACCTATTTAAGCAACATAGCACGCCCACCAATCGATAAAGTCGAGGCTTTCCATTTAGAAAGTTTTGTCTTCAACTTTATTTTCATCGGGTTCTAGCTAATGACTCTAGACATGTTTTAACCAACCGGTAACCCAAGATAAGTGAAAGGCATATTATCAAGTTTACACCCTACCAGTTTAGAAAATCCAGTTAACTCCTCCCAAGTGACACCAATATCAAAAAGATTTGATTTTTGCAAATTAATATTCAGCCCCGATACTAAATAAAAATAGTTAAGGATATAAACCATATTAACTAAATTATGTCTCTCTCAATCACCAAGAATAATCATGTCGTCTGCATAGAAGATGTGAGAAAGCATAAACTCCTCTATACCAATACTTACCTTACCCCAGAACACAAACCCATATGAATAGCGTCTTCAATAGCTAAAGGCAGACCTTCCATGACAAGAATAAAAAGAAAGGGAGATAACGGATCTCCTTGTCTCAAACATCTTTGTAATTGAAATTCACCTGTAAGACTCCCATTAATTAAAACTGAAGCTCGAGCCAAAATAAGACATCCTTGTATCCAAGTTCTCCATTTCGTTCCAAATATCGTATATTGCATAACCCGATCCAAATATTCCCAACTCACTGAATCATACGCCTTTGCAAAGTCAAATTTCAGAATCATCATCTTTTTTTCTTCTTTTTAAACCACTCAACCAATTCATTAATCATTAACAGACCATCAAGAATTTGCATATCCTTCATAAACACAAATTATTCACTATTGACAACACAATCAATGGCTTTAGATATACGAAGAGATAGATATTTAGCCAAAGACTATAAGACTAATAACCACCATAAGACTATTGACTTTCAGGATTAAAGTAATAAAAAAAGAATTGCAGCCCAAAGGCAATCTAGAAGTCTCGAAAAAACTCACCCACAAAGTCAAGAATGTCGGGCTTCAATAAATCTCAATACCGCTTAATGAATTCAAAATTAAACTCATTCGATCCCGACGCTTTATCACTTTCACAAGCCCACACTGCTAATTTAACTTCCTCCTCTAAAATCGAAATTTCAAGAAGATTGGATTGCTCATTAGAGATGCTCTTGAACCAAGAGCTCCTATTCACAACCGGTATAACCTAAAATGTCTTAAACTTTTTTTCATAGTAATCGAAGAATTATTTTTTAACATTATTAAACTTTATTGTCCAATCCCTTTCCACTTTCACACCTTGAACACCAAGATGCCTAGACTTTCTATTTAATATTCCATGAAAAAACTTTGGGTTCTCATCACCTTCTCTATTCCATTTGATCTTCGCTTTTTGAGTCACATATTTAATCTCTATATTGTAACATTCGAAACTATTGGTATGTTTCCTTTTAAACCCTTTATGCAAAAAAAAACTTTATTTTTGGTCCTTAGCTGAAGCCAAAATAAGACATCCTTGTATCCAAGCTCTCCATTTCGTTCCAAAATTCGTAAACTGCATAACCCGATCCAAATATTCCCAACTCACTGAATTATACGCCTTTGCAAAGTCAATTTCCAGAATCATCATCTTTTTTTCTTCTTTTTAAACCACTAAACCAATTCATTAATCATTAACGGACCATCAAGAATTTGCATATCCTTCATAAACACATATTGTTCACTACTGACAACACAATCAATGCCTTTAGATATACGAAGAGCTAGATATTTAACCAAAATTTTATATTGTACCCCTATAAGACTAATAACCGCCATAGGACTATTGACTTTCAGGATTAAAGTAATAAAAAAAAGAATTGTAGCCCAAAGGCAATCTAGAAGTCTCGAAAAAACTCACCCACA